AGGTTAATGGATATGATCTTAGAGCCATTAAGGAGACATGTTTACAAGGAGATCGAAGCTAGGAACTTAACATTCAGGGTATGACTTCAAAAGAAAAAAAAAGGACAGGTGGGAAGGAAAGTGTGGTGAGATAGCAAAGTCAGTAGTCAAACACGACACCAGGTTATAGTCAACAGGTTTATTTGAAATCACCAGCTTTCAGAGTGCAGCCCCTCCATCAGGTGAAGTGAGAGAGATGAGCACACAGACTCAGAATTTATAGGCAGAAGGATCAAAAGTCATACAACTGGAGTGAGTGAAGGGTCTAAGAAAAAGTCTCTGCAGGTGACCAAGAGAGTCAGACAGTGCGAGTAAAGTGTTACCAGCTGAATAACAAAGGGATGACCTATAATCTGATTAAAAATGAGGCAGAGACAAAATACAAAAAATTTTTTAAAAAAGTGGTGCTGGAGACCAACCAAACAATTGTAATAACATGATAGGTATAAGAGTCACATGCAAGGGGGGGTTTAACCGAAGTAACAAGTAACCCAAAACTGTACAAACTAATTAAAGATAAAGATAGAGATCATAACAATTTATCCAGGTGATGCTGTCAAAACAGGACAGTAAGGAAGATTTTACAGATACAGAGCAGTGTGGTGAGGTCACATGTAGTGCGACATGAACCCAATGTCACAGTTGAGGCCACCTTCATTAGGTATGGAACTTGGCTATCAGTTTCTGCTCAACGATCCTGTGTATCTCAAAGTCTGCCTTGGAGGACATTTACCTGAAGATCAGAGGCTGAATGTCCTTGACCACTAAGTGTTCCCCGACTGGGAGGGAACATTCCTGTCTGGCAATTGCGCAGTATCCATTCATCCATTGTCATAGCGTCTGCATGATCTCGCCAATATACCATGTCTTGGGGCATCCTTGCCTGCAGCATACGAGATAGACAACATTGGCCAAGTCACACGAGTATCTGCTGTGCATGTGGTGGGTGATGTTCCCACGTGTGATGGCAGTATCCATGTTGATGTTCTGACATGTCTTGCAGAGGTTGCTGTGGTAGGGTTGTGGGATGTTGTGGTAGATGTTGTCCTGAAGGCTGGGTAGTTTACTGTGAACCATGTTCTCTTTAACATTTGATGGTTTTTTGAAGGTGAGAAGTGGAGGCTTAGGGATAGTCTTGGCAAGATGTGGATTGTCATTGATGACATGTTGAAGGCTGTGGAGAACATGGTGCGGTCTGTCTGCTCCAGGGAAGTACTGGATGACGAAGTGTACTCTATCGGTTAACAGAGATCCATGGTGCAGTGACCAAAGAAAGAGTTGAATTGGATCCCTCTAGAAGGCCACTGCCCTAGGCTTGACATATATGCTGAAGCCGTTGGGAGATGCATTAACACCAGATTCAGTCGCGCTCACAAGCCAATGTTGTCTATTTCTACGCTGCAGGCAAGGATGCCCCAGTGCATGGTATATTGGCGAGACCATGCAGATGCTACAACAATGGATGAATGGACACTGCACAATTGCCACACAGAAATGTTCCCTCCCAGTCAGGGGAACACTTAGTGGTCAAGGCCATTCAGCCTCCGATCTTCAGATATGCGTCCTCTGAGGCAGACTTCAAAATAAACAATACAGAATCGCCGAGCAGAAACTGATAGCCAAGTGCCATACCCATGAAGACAGCCTGAACCATGATCTCTGGTTCATGTGACCTCACCACACTGTTCTGTAGCTGCAAAACCTTCCTCACTGTCCAGTTTTGACACATCACCTTGACAAATTGTTATGATCTCTCTACCTTAATTAGCTTATACAGTTTTGGATTACTTTTTACTTTGGTTAGACCCTTGGCATGTGACTCTTACACATATCATGTTATTTCAGCTATTTAGTTTGTCTCCAGCACCACCTTATTTTTAATTTTTTTGTAATTATCTCTGCCTCATTTAATTGGAATTTCAGTCATGCCTTCACTTGCTATTCAGTTGGTAACACTTTACTCACACCGTCTGACACTCTTGGTCACCTGCAGAGACTTATTATTTGACACTCCACTCACACCATCTCTCTGCCTATAAATTCTGAGTCTGTGTGCTTGTCTCTTACACTTCACCTGATGAAGGGGCTGCACTCCGAAAGCTTGTGATTTCAAATAAGCCTGTTGGACTATAACCTGGTGTTGTGTGATTTCTGACCTTGTCCACTCCAGTCCAAAACCAGCACCTCCACTTCATTGTTATTACAGAGATGGGATAAGTACAGTAGCAAGGTTAAAAGTTGAAGAATGCAAAAGTTGGAGGTAAGAAATCAACAAAAAAAAAAAAAGGGATGATGACCCTGGTAGGAGTAGTTTAAAATCAGACCCTAACAGTACTTACAACAGTGGGACAGAAAATAAAATCAGGAGATCACAAGGGCTTGTTTAACAATGTAATCTGCATGTAGGTCACGATAGTCACATTGTTCCTCGTTGCTCTTCTGCCAATTCATAGTGTATTTGCGACAGTTCCCTACAACATTGTGGTAGATCCAACCAGGAATCAGGCTATTTGGATCTGTGGATTTATAATGAGGCAGGCTGAATAAATCATGTCCAATTAAAAGATCCCTTGGAAAACAGCGACCATAACATGGTAGAATTTAGCATTCAGTTGGGAAGGGAAGAATTTGGGTCAGAAACAAACCAAAAAAAAAGTGTAAAAATTTAAGTGAGGGAAAATACAAAAAGGAATGATGGCAGAGTTATCTGGAGTGGACTGGGAAAGGTATTTAGCAGATATTTAATCGTTCAAAGCTTAAACAGCAAAGATATAATCCAGTGGAGGAAGAAGGATTTAACAACGGAAGATAAGGGTAGTATCAAGTTGAAGGAAAAACCATATACACAATGTGACAAAGATCAGTGATAAGCCAGGGGATTGGAAAGTTCTAAAAACCAACAAAAAAAACAAAAAAGGAAAAATGAACTTTTGGGGTAGACGTGCAAGAAATAAAGACAGACAGCAAGAGCAAAGCCAAAAAGTTCATGTGGATCCTTAGGAGAATAGAGCCTGACAAAATAATAATAATAATGACAGGGATCTAGGGAGTCGCAGAGGCATTGTATAAATAAATAAATAAAAATAAATAAATAAATACATAAATAAATTACTCTTTCTCAGAGCAGAAAACACTAACAGCATCCTAAAAATACCAAATAATTCAAGGAGCAAATAGAAAGAAAATAAACACAAGTAATTATCATGAGAGTCTAATGGGGCCAAGGACTGTTAGTCTCCTGGGCCTAATGGGGTGAAACTAATATTAAAAAAGAAAGCAGCTACACAGAGGTAATGGATGCACTGGTAGCAATCTTACAAAAATCCTTAGATTCTGTAAAAGTCCCAGAAAAATTGACAAAGTAAAAAAAAAAAGTTTAAACAGGGAAGGAGACAAAAAAAGAACCAGTTAGCTTAAATGTCTGTTATTGGTAAAATGTTAGAGTCTATTATAAAGGATATAATAGCAGAACATTTAGAAATATATGATATGATCATGAAGGGGAAATCATGCCCAACATATTTGTTAGAATTCTTTGAGAAGGAAGCACGTGGGATAGATAAATAGGGATGCAGTGGATCTAATTAATATAGATTTTCAGAAGGCATTTGGTAAACACACTATATGTTTGGCTACTTACTAACATAGGATCCCACAATGTTGGAGGTAGTGCATGTGCATGGATATAGGACTGACTAATAGAAAACAGTTGGAACAAGAATGGCAAACTGTAACTAATGGAGTACCATAGCGATCAGTGCTGGAACCACAATTAAAATTAATGATTTGGAGGAGGAAGGTGAATGGACTATAGCCAAGTTTGCAGATGACAAAAATAGGTGGGAAGGCAGGAGTGAGTTGACAACGAGTCTACACAGGGATATAGGCAGGTTAAGCAAGTAGGCAAAAAAACTTGGCAGATAGAATATAATGCGAGGAAATGTGAAGCACTTTGGCATGACTAATAGAGAAGCTGAATATTACTTAAGTGGAGAAAGATTGCAGAAAGCTACAGCACTAAAAAAAATGATTTTGGTGTCCACATGCATAAGTTAGAAAAAGTTCACATGTTCAGCATTTAATAGTAAAGGTAAGTGGAATGTTGGCCTTTACTTCAAAAGGGAATACAGTAGAACAGTAGGGAGATTGTGCTAAAACCTAAATAAGCCCACAAACCATGCCACAGCTGGAAGTCAATGAACTGTTTTCCTCCCCTTATCCAAGGAAAGTTATAGTAGCATTGGGAGCAGTCCAGAAAAGGTGCACTAGGCTGATCCTGGGTGGAGGAGTTGAGTACATTAGGCCTGTACTCATTAGAATTGAGAGAATGGGGTCAACTTTATTGAAGCATACAAGATTCTTGAGACTTGTTGGGGTACGTATGGAAAGGTAGATTCCCCTTGTAAGACAGTCTAGGTCCATTGAGAATAATCTCAGAATAAGATGTTGCCCATTTAAGGCAGGGCTGAGGAACAATGTTCTTCTCTCTTTGGGCTGATTGGCCTACTTCTGCTCCTACATCTTATGGTCTCAAGTTAATAATTAAAGCTCTTTAGACATACTGACCAAAAACTAACATTCCACTAGTTCAAATTCAATCTCTGAAAGAAGTGCTCGTAGTGTATTAGAGAAATCAGACACTATCACAATGAATTGAAAACCTGACTGTCGTGTGCAATAGAACCAACAAGACTAGCAAAGTCACCATAGTTCCCAAGGACCACAAGGCTGCTGGTCCTCTCTCTGGTGGTGGTTTAGCTGGACAATCACCAGGCCGCAAGCTTCTCGCAAGGTTGAGAAAGTCCAAACTTCATGGTAACCTCAACCAATGTGGGAATTGAATCCACACTGTTGGCATCACTCCATCACAAACCAGCCAACTGAGCTGATTGAACCCCCGTAGCAAAAAAACTACACAACAGTCAGTACGCACACACACACACACACACACACTAGACATGAACCCAAAGCTATTGACAATAGATTACAGCACTTAAAAGTTTCCCACGCATGCTACTAGCATCAAGGGTCATTGTATAGCGTGGCTCAGTGTGGCAATCAAAACAGATAATCCATTGGGCTTCATGAAATGTCTGTCTTTCTCACCACTGTTAATTCTTTATCTGACTATCTTTAGGATTGCTTTTCCTGGGTTTAGCTCTGCCTGACATGGCAACTTTTATTAAAATTTAGATCCAGTGTGGAATCAGCAACTAATAGAACTTGGGTCATCTTCTTGGTTACCACCGGCAATCAAGAATTGTCACTCTGCTAATGTTTAAATATTTATTTTCCATGGCGTACGATGTTACTCTTCTCTCGGTCAACCATGGTTCAATGCCTCTAGCACGGAATTTATTGGAAAAAACATTTTTACAACATAGAGGACTCAAAACCGTGCCAATACTTACAATAAGTAAGCAAATACTCACAAAAGCAAATAGTACAAAACAGCAGCTCTACATTTAAATTAAATTTTCTTGTCCTAAACTGGAGATGACAAGCAGTTCCTAACAAATTGTCTGCTATTAGTATGTGACAAACTTCATAAGACAGTTAGTATTTATTCCTTAAATAAAAACACTTAGGGAATATCTCAGCCAAAAATCAATAAAATCAGTCAGGCATTTTATTTGCATCTGCAAACAGAAAACAAACATGTTCAGAACGTCCAAATGGAAACACTTCAAAAACTACCAAGTATCACCAGTAATGGATTAAAGCATAATTTCTATTTTGCTCACATGTTTCCATTCTGACAGCTGATCCATGAAGCTGCTGGTAATTCGCATATCACTGCACAAATTCTATTCAGACACAAGCTCAGAGATATGATGTAAAAAACTGTACTTACTGCCAGGTCACTGTACAGATGGTCACCAAAATAAAGCACCTTGGATCCACCCCAGCCTGTCAGTCGTAGAAAATCAAATAGGTTTCCCTGCAGATTGAGAGCAGAAAGATGAGTAATTTCAGGAAACATTAGTGGAATGGATGTATTTGGTCTGAGGTTTTCATGACTTCAAATAGATTCTTCAAATAACAACTGACCAGAGAACAGCACAAACGTGACAGTTATGAAATACTAAAAAAGACAAAGACAAAGACAGAGTCCACAGCACTGGCATATATAATTTTGGATCATGATCAGATCTGCCCTCACAAACTGCCGTATGGAGCTTTTATCTTCAACACATTATAGGTACCGTTGAGGCAGGAATGGTTTTAGGTCCTGTAGGGTTTAGATAGTGTAGTGCTGATAGATTCAATAGTTGTTGATCACAAATCCTGGTACCTACATACATTACAAATGGCAGACATTGCCAAATTTGGGCGAGTACCGAACAGTTTGCTTACAAACTGTAGCACACATCCCTTTGCTTTATTCTACAAGTGGTCCTAGTAGGATGGGGAATGAACCCTTTATGCCATCAGGTCGCATGCCACAACAAATGGCAATAATAGAGTAACTTTTCTAAGGTTTATTGCATACTAGACGTAGATGACAACAACGACGACGACAACAACTCATGGGTCCAAAGAGACAAAAAGCTACAACATTATTGGGTAGATGCCAATTGTCTAGGTATTTCTTGTACACAAAGCAGGGCAAATCCAAAAATCGGGCAAATTACCACTCATCAGTCCACTCTTGATCATCAGTCCACAGTCAGTGGAAGGGGTCACAAGCAGTGCTAACAAGCAGCACTTAGTTAGAAACCTGTTCTGTGATACTCAGCTTGGGGCCTGACAGGACACTTCCTCTGGCCTCATTACAACCTTGGATCAAGCATGGATAAGAGAGCCGAATTCCAGACGCAAGGAGAAAGCAACTGCCTTGATATCAAGGCTGCATTTGACAGCGTGCATCATTGAGGAGCCCTAATAAAACTAGAGCTAAACTAAACGGAACTAGAGAATCAGAGGTAAACTTCTCAGCTATTGGAAATATACCTAGCATTAAGGAAGATGAAGGTCAGTTATCTCAGTTCCAGACATCTCTGCATGAGTTTTTTTAGAGTGGTGTCAAAGACCCAGCCAATTACCTTCCCTCCAATAAGGAAAAAAAAATATCAGGAGTGGAGTGATTTGTCAATGATTGCATAATGTTCAGTATCATCCACAGATTCTGAAGAAGTTAATGTCCAAACACACCAGGACCTGGACAATATTCAGGCTTGGACTGTCAATGGCAAGCAACATTTGCAATATATTAAGTGCTAGGCAATGACCAACTTCAATAGGTGAAAATCTAACCATTGCCCCTTGATATTCAATGGCATTTCCATCCCTGTATCCTTTACTAACCCATCCTGGGGGTTACTATTGATCAGAAACTGAAATAGCCATACAGATACTTACAGATGGCTGTAAGAGCAGGTCCGAACAGGAATGCTGCAATAAGCAACTCCTTTCCCAACTCTCCAAGCCTGTCCGACATCTACAAGACAAGTCAGGAATGGAATGGCATTCTTCCCACTTGCCTGCGTAGAAGTGTGGCTCCAATGCTAGATATCACCCAGGACAAGGCAGCTTGCTTGATTGGTACCACATCCAAAGACATTCACATTCTCCATACTGACACACAGTAGCAGCACCGTACACCACTTACATAGAAAAAAGGTAGACAATAGGAGCAGGAGTAAGCCATTCAGCTCTTCCAGCCTGCGCCATTATTCAATATGATCATGGTTGATCATCCAATTCTGTACCCTGTTTTAACTTTCTCTCCATACCCTTGATTCCTTTAGCCATAAGAACTATATCTAACTGTTTTCAAGAAGAATTCAATGTTTTAGCCTCAGTTGCTTTCTGTGGCAGAGAATTCCAGAGGCTCACTACTCTCTGGACAAAAGTTTCTCCTCATTTCAGTCCTAAATGGCCTACCCGACATCCCTAGGTTGTGACCCCCATCATCAGAAACATCTTTTCTGCATTTACTCTGTCAAGTCCTATTAGCATTTTATAGGTTTCTATGAGATTCCCCTTTGCTCTTCTATACAACTGAAGCAAAAGTTCATTTTTAGGAGGTAGGTTAGACCACACCTGGAGAGCGGTATGCAGCTTTACCCCCTTAACCCAGAGAAGATATTATTGCCATAGAGGGAGTGCAATGAAGACTCACCAGATTTATTCCCAAAACAGTAGGGCTATCCTACAAGGACACATTGAGGAGCACTAAAATCGGGGTCACAGTGCCAGTCTGTCATCAGGAACGTCTTTCCTGCATTGATCCCACCTGAGATTCCCTCATCTTCTAAACTCAAATGAATAGAGTCCAAACTTGATCCAGTCTCAAGAATGGTGACAGATTTGGAAAGGGGGAGGTGCATTGAGACCTGGGTATCCTTGTACACCAGTCACCAAAAGCAAGCATGCTGGCACTGCAGATGGTGAAGAAAGCAAGTGTTATGTTGTCCTTCATAGCAAGAGGATTCGAGTACAGGAGCAGGGATGTCTTGCTGCAGGGTCTTGGTGAGATCACACCTGGGATATGGTGGACAGTTGTAGTCTCCTTGCCTGAGGAAGAAGGTTCTGACTATGGAGGGAATGCTATGACGGTTTAGCAGAGTGATTCCTGGGATGGGATGACCAATATACAAGAGCTACCAAAATGAATAACCTCATATTATACTACATCTGCCATGCACTTGCCCACTTGTTCAACTTGTCCAAATCAGTGACGCATCACTGCATCCTCCTCACAGCTCAACCTCCTGCCCAGTGTTGTGTTGTTTGCAAACTTTGCGATCTTACATTCAGTTCCTCATTTAAAAATCATTATTATATATGTTGCGAATAGCTGGGGTTCAACCACTGATGCTTGTAATATTCACTATTCACTGCCTACCACTCAGGAAAACCCCATTTACTCCTCCTACTGTTGCCCATCAACCAGCCCTCTATTCATATCAGTACACTACCTAATCCCATGCACTTTCATTTTACAAGAAGAGACAAGATGCACTGCAAAAATACAAAGGCTCCTTAGACAGCACTTGTCAAATCCAGGCTCACTACCACCCGAAAAGGACAAAGGGTACCGAGAATACCATCATCTGCAAGTTCCCCTCCAAAACACTCACCATTCTGATTTGGAAATATAACCATCCATTCCTTCAGTGTGCTGGTAAAAATCCCAGAACCCCTTCCCTAATGGCAGTTTGGGCTTTATTCAAAGCAAAGGGACCCCAGCAGTAGCTTACCACTATCTTGTCCAGGGTAACTGGGAAGGGCAAAAAAAAAAATGCTGGCTCAGCCAGCGAAGCCCATGAATAACAATGAGTGACATTTTTCAGAAGTTAGATCGGCACTTGTCAAAAGAACATGGAGATGACATCCAGAGGGAAAAATAAATCTGATTGGGGAAGTTTGGATGAGTTTAGAGTTAGAAGAATTTGAGAGATTATTCCAATTTTGTTTTTGCTGCATTCCTGTCCAATAAAAGTTATTGAAATCACAAGATTTTCACATACAAATAGTGAATCTGGACACTTTTGACTCCATAGTAATACCCTTGGAGGGCATGAATTTAAAGCCTTCTTCAGGCCTATGGCAGTTAAATATAGGCTGACATTTCAGTCCAGAGGAAGCACCATGTAGGAAGTGTCACCAATTTAATGAGACATTAAACTGAGGCCACATCTTCCCAGTCAGTGGATGATAAAATCTCTGTGGTTCTAATTAAAAAGAAGCAGACAGTTGTTCTCACTAACATTTATTCCTCAATCAATACCAACAAAATCAACCCAACCGATCATTTATATAACTACTTGTCGAAGGCCCTTGCCATGCACAAAATTACCTGTGTCTGACACTTCAAAAGTATTTAAACCGGCTGTGAGGCACTTCACAATGGTCAGGGGGCCAGGAAAGCATCGTATAAATCAAGGTCATTTATTTAAAGTGACAATGTGTAGTAGCAATTTATTCAGGTTCTTATATTTACATTAAAAAGCAATTAGCAAACTACAAGACTGTGCAAAAATCTTCAAATTTTTTCCCCGATATAGAACACTAAGGTTGGTCAAAACCCCTTCTACTTCCATAAGCAATGAAAGAACTCCCTGTTCTCTCTCACTCTGGCATTAAAGTACATCACATGTCAGACTGAAAAGCTGAAAAAGGGAATGTGGATTTGTCAAACAGGTTTCATTACATATTAATTTGAGCTGCAAGCATTTTATTTTTGCGGTTTAAAACCTTACTCGTGGACAAAGGCACCAAATAACATCTGTCAACTTTAGTTTTGATGTCAAACCAAGGCGGTGGTTAAAAAAAAAGTGCCTCTCTTTAACGTGCCATGATTTATGTAAAGGCATTTTTTTTTTAAATAAAAAAAGGAACACACCATCATTTTCTGTGTTGTCTTTATTTTATGCTCGGTTCTTAAAAAGTAAATTCATTGCTTGGAGGTCTTCTGCTCATACTTCTAACAATGCTGGCCATTGTAAATAGCTAGGAGGTGGATGGGCATTAGTTACATGGCCTAGCTATTCCTTCACTTTTAGTCTGTCACCTTATGGGATCTTTGTTTGTCTTTGAGAACTTGTGCAAGGAGGAGGTTCTCCAATCTGACTGCCCCGCATTGCAGTTTCTTGTTTGCTTCTCTGTATGCCTTCAGACTGCTTACACCGTTTTGTTAATTGAACATACATGTCTGGAGTAAGATTAGATCTGGCTATTGGCAGTCAGCAGACATTCCAACTATTTGTATTCATCAGTTGTACACAATTGTCAGCACTGTTCCTATGGCAACAGTTAATGCTTCCAGGTTTTATACAAAATAGCAACATGCAGCAGAAAGTTCAATTTTGCACTTAGAATAATAATTCTCCAGATGCTGCAGCTCTTCCAAAATGTAAACACCAATTAAACCCTGGAAATTTTGGCTCTCAATGAAGCAAAAATAGTCATCTTTCAGACACATTCTGTATAGGG